CCGAGGGCGTCGGAGGTGCTGCCATCTTCTTGCAGAGGCTGGAGAGACCTAAGCCACTGCTAGACAATGGGAGACCAGCACATTGCGATACTCGGGGACCGCCATCCTTTGGGTACAACCTATAAAATAATTAACTTGCCCTTGGGTGCTCCAGCTGCCTGTCTGCCCTCCGCTTGTTCAGCTGCTGCGGCCAGGAAAGCCCCTCTGCTCCTCCTCACCTTCCTCCCGTGCAGCTGCTGCTCTGCCCTGCCAGGGAGGGGCCAGGGCTCTGGCATGCACAGACCGCGCTGGGCTGTGTGATTGGCACTGGCCAGCTGTGGTTAATCATTGCCCTTCCCCCAAAATTTCCTCTAGTTCTGGGAGGTCATCAGCGATGAGCACGGCATTGATCCTACAGGCAGCTACCACGGGGACAGTGACCTGCAGCTGGAGAGGATCAACGTCTACTACAATGAAGCTGCTGGTAAGTGTGTCTGTGTCCTCAGACGTCCTTAAATAAATGGAGCAGACTTGCCGGTTCACTGAGACTGGAAAAATCCTGGAACAAGAGCTGTCACCTGCCAGTGATGCCTCCAGGAGAGCTTTGTTCTCAGAATGGCTCTGACAACACGGCAGTCTGGTGGAGGCAGCATCTCTCTGCTGAAATGCAGGGAAGTGGGTGGGAGCCCTGCTGTGGGGCTGTAACACTGGTGCAGGTTCTTCCCACAGGTAACAGGTGGTGCTGGGGGGCAGTCAGGGTGTCCCCAAGATCACCCTGCCCTGGTGGGTGTGTCCCAGCTCTCCCTGCAGCCGTAACATCCTACTTTGTATTCCCATCCCCAGTCACCTCCCTCCAAAGTCTCAAAGCCCCTGCATCCCAGGCAGCCAAACGTGGGGAAGCAGACGGGGGCACCGCAGGGCTCCTGTGGGGCCGTAACCCTGGTGCTGGTTCCTCCTGCAGGTAACAAGTACGTGCCTCGTGCCATCCTGGTGGACCTGGAGCCCGGCACGATGGACTCTGTGCGCTCTGGCCCCTTTGGACAGATCTTCAGGCCCGACAACTTTGTCTTTGGTGAGTGAGGGTGGGATGGGGGCAGCCCAAAGCGGGAGCGCCGTGCACGGGAAGGGCTCAGGCTTCCCGGTCACCTGGGGACCTGGATCCCGAGAGCCCAGTGGGGGTGGAAGTGAGGGGAGGACCTCCTGAGGCAGGAGAAGCGGGATCATCCGTGTTCCTCTCCGGGCACTGACGTGGCTCCTTGCTTCTGGTGTGCCCTCCAGGTCAGAGCGGGGCTGGCAACAACTGGGCCAAGGGGCACTACACGGAGGGTGCTGAGCTGGTGGACTCGGTCCTGGACGTGGTGAGGAAGGAGTCAGAGAGCTGCGACTGCCTGCAGGGCTTCCAGCTGACCCACTCGCTGGGCGGCGGCACGGGCTCTGGGATGGGCACCCTCCTCATCAGCAAGATCCGGGAGGAGTACCCCGACCGCATCATGAACACCTTCAGCGTCATGCCCTCCCCCAAGGTGTCGGACACGGTGGTGGAGCCCTACAACGCCACCCTCTCTGTGCACCAGCTGGTGGAGAACACGGACGAGACCTACTGCATCGACAACGAGGCCCTGTATGACATTTGCTTCCGCACCCTGAAGCTGACCACCCCCACGTACGGGGACCTCAACCACCTGGTGTCGGCCACCATGAGCGGCGTGACCACCTGCCTGCGCTTCCCCGGGCAGCTGAACGCCGACCTGCGCAAGCTGGCGGTCAACATGGTGCCTTTCCCCCGGCTGCACTTCTTCATGCCGGGCTTCGCCCCGCTCACCAGCCGCGGCAGCCAGCAGTACCGCGCCCTGACGGTGCCCGAGCTGACGCAGCAGATGTTCGACTTGGATCCCCAACAACGTGAAGACGGCCGTCTGCGACATCCCCCCGCGCGGCCTCAAGATGTCGGCCACCTTCATCGGCAACAGCACGGCCATCCAGGAGCTCTTCAAGAGGATCTCGGAGCAGTTCACGGCCATGTTCCGGCGCAAGGCTTTCCTGCACTGGTACACGGGCGAGGGCATGGACGAGATGGAGTTCACCGAGGCCGAGAGCAACATGAACGACCTGGTCTCCGAGTACCAGCAATACCAGGACGCCACTGCTGACGAGCAGGGGGAGTTTGAAGAGGAAGGAGAGGAGGATGAGGCGTAAAGTTGAATTGAGTAGGAGTTAAGTATAGTCTGAGCAGGCAAGTGTTCATTGAGAGGAGGAATCTGTGCAGTTGTGCTGAAGCATGCATTTTTTCATTTGGTGCTCTCCACTGTTGCTTCTGTCAGCAGTTTTGTATCCTTGACTGTCCAATGTAACAGTAGTTGCAAAAATACTTCAGAGTCTTCTGTTGAAATGGGTAACTTCTCAAACATAAAGCTTTTTGTGTCTTAAACTGTCTCCTCTGCTTTATTTCTCTCTAGATTAAGATAACTCTTGTGTAGTTCTCTGTAGCTTCACTTCTCCTTTAATCCTTAACTTCAGTGAGAGTTTAAACTCAATAAAACCAGATTTCTTAGGCCATGAATTTGGCAGCATGAGTAAACTGTAATGTCTCATCTTAAGATGGTAGCTAATTTATGGAAATTGGGTGTTCACTGTTAGACACTCCCGTGTCCAACAGCTAATCTGTTGCTCAGGGGGAAGCTGCCTTAGCCGATAGAAACAAGACACTGCACTTGTGAATCCTGCAACTCCTGTTTATGGCCGTACATGGTGGTGAGGTCCCTGAGAAGGTATTGAATCCCACATTACTAACTGTCAAAACTGATTTGACAAGAAAGCTGCAGGCTTCCCCACTGCCATTCAGCAGCTCTATAACTTGTTCCAGAGCATATATTACATGCATATGGGTGCCTGCTTGTGTTTTGTTTGGGTGCTGAGCTGTCCTGTGTCCTTCAACCCTCCTCTCTTAAGTACAAAAAGTTCCCGCAGAGTAGCATGGATCTTTACTAGCAGACAACTTTAATTTGATTAAAAACCTGAAGTTCAGGCATAAAATTCTTGAGTATTTCCCAAAAACAGCCAGTAAGATGCCCTTAACTGTAAAGGGATTGACTCTTCAGGGCAATCAGTTTCCTTTAGCAGATAAGAGGTGATGGGCAGATTTCTAGAGAACATGGCTGAAAAGGCTACCCAGAGCGTACGTACCATTTTGGAGTAGTCAGGTAGGTACCCTGATGATAGCTGTCTCCCACATCAAAACTATGCATTTACAGGGCTGCTGTTTGATGCTCTTGGTTCCTGCAGCAGAAAACGGACCCCTACCAAGGCAGGTGAGAGCAGTGCAGCAGCACCCTGCTGTGCATCTTTGTGAAGGTAAGTGTGGCTTTCTTCTGGTAAAGGGCAGGCTGTGTGTTGCTGTATGCTTAAAGAATGGATCATCCCTGCAATGCAGTTATTGGTAGTTAAAAGGCTTGAGACTTTTCTTACTCCTGCAAAACGTTAAGTAAAATCCCTCACAGAGTATAGCAGCTACCCAATATGCAAGATTAGTCCTTAGTTCACCTGAACACCACTTAGGGGAGTGCTCTGGTACTAAAGTGTTGTTTAGAGAGCTGCTGCCAGTGCTGCAATTACTATGGTCCTTACTGCTCTGAGAGAGCTGGTATCCACATGTGTGCAACCTCTTTTGTGGTCCTTTAACGAAATGCTTGCAAGGCATTACTGGAATAAAGACTTAAAAGGGAGCTACTGTGCGTGACTAATATCTTGCCCTGTTTTGGCTCTGTTAATTGACCACTGCCTGCAAACACTACTGAGTGTGTACCCTGTTCCTTTGCTTGTGGACTTATTATCCCACAGTGACATCTAGGATGGTGTGCAGGACAACAGGCTAAAGATCTTCTCTCACCTATATGCTTCACTTCTGGTGTACACTCTATAAAGAGAGTTAAGAAGCCTGAACTTGTTAGTAAACAAGCACAACTGTATGTAGCCACAATAGCACTTGTATTTCTTAGCACTTGAGCAGTTCTAGGATTAAGTATTAAACAGATGGAGGTTGTTTTAGTAACTGAGTTACTATGTGCAGCCCCAGGCCTTTTGGGAAAATAAGAGCTTATCTGGTTGTCAAAGTAACCGTCCCTTGAAATTACCTAGCTGGGTTGCACTTGAAACTGTTTATCATATAGCTTTGTTGGTAAAACTGAGAAGGGTAGCCAGCAAACACATTTAAACAAGACTTAGCTAAAATATGACAATCCAGTCTTTGACAGTAAAAATCTTACTTTCTGAGGTCAGAGTGTAGCAGGTTTCACAAGTGTTCAGTGCTGTCTATCTTCTAATTCTTAGTGTAATTACACTCTAGCTAACCCTTAAATATAGCTACCCAAGAGACATTTCAGTACAACTCCTGTTCTAGAAAGTGGGACACCATCCTACATTGCTTGCTGTTTGTACTCTAGTTTTTTCTAGAGGGAGAAAAACCATAAATAGATATACTCTAGACAGAAACAAGTCCTTTCATAAATCCTACACAACTTATTTGCTAGTCATAATAATGAAAAAAAAAATATTCAAGCCAGCATTCCAATAGGAGTTGAAGGAAATGCAGGGAACAAGGATACTGGAAGATTTAGAGAGGAGTTTCAAAATTTCTTTGTAGGGACAGTAAGTCAACTATAAGGGAGGATGACTCCCCATACTGCTCCTGGGGGCTACAGTACCTTTTTTTTTTTCCTGTGGGATCTTTGAGTTTTAGCTGCATCTGTTACCCAGGAGGCCACTATAAAAATTGGAGACTGACTGATGTCTGCTAAATAACAAGCATGTTTTCACAAATGCTCATGGTTGCACTTTTTGCTTCAGAGAAAGCAGAACCACTGAAAGGATTTAAGATTACCTAACCTGACTGCATTAATCTCTATTAGATGTTGATTTGTATTTGTCCCTGTGATGAACAACACCTCTAAGGCTAAATGTCTTGCATGAGGCATCCTGTTTGGAAGAAATGAGGATAGATAACCCACAAGCTTAGTGGTGTGCAGTTTAAGCCATTTATGACTCATTTGTGTTGAGGTAGAAGCTAATGCCAAGCAATATATTTGTTTCAATGGTGGTCTGCAGGGAAGCATTCTCATCAGTTGACAACTAGATCTAATGTTGCTGGGGAAGGGAACAACCTTTTGTTGTTGTTATAAATCCTACACAACTTATTTGCTAGTCATAATAATGAAAAAAAAAATATTCAAGCCAGCATTCCAATAGGAGTTGAAGGAAATGCAGGGAACAAGGATACTGGAAGATTTAGAGAGGAGTTTCAAAATTTCTTTGTAGGGACAGTAAGTCAACTATAAGGGAGGATGACTCCCCATACTGCTCCTGGGGGCTACAGTACCTTTTTTTTTTTTCCTGTGGGATCTTTGAGTTTTAGCTGCATCTGTTACCCAGGAGGCCACTATAAAAATTGGAGACTGACTGATGTCTGCTAAATAACAAGCATGTTTTCACAAATGCTCATGGTTGCACTTTTTGCTTCAGAGAAAGCAGAACCACTGAAAGGATTTAAGATTACCTAACCTGACTGCATTAATCTCTATTAGGTGTTGATTTGTATTTGTCCCCGTGATGAACAACACCTCTAAGGCTAAATGTCTTGCATGAGGCATCCTGTTTGGAAGAAATGAGGATAGATAACCCACAAGCTTAGTGGTGTGCAGTTTAAGCCATTTATGACTCATTTGTGTTGAGGTAGAAGCTAATGCCAAGCAATATATTTGTTTCAATGGTGGTCTGCAGGGAAGCATTCTCATCAGTTGACAACTAGATCTAATGTTGCTGGGGAAGGGAACAACCTTTTGTTGTTGTTGTTGTTCTTTGTTTAATATGTGGCCTTTTTAAGCATGTTAGGAGAATGTATTTACCAAGGCAAACAACTCTAAAAATGTTTGTCCACTGGTAGATGCAAGATGGCAAAGCTAAGGCTGTAAAATCAACTAGGTACTATGTAGGCTTAGTTTAAGTAGAAAAGGTATGAGGTGTGGTTGCACTGAGATACCACCTCTCTCTATTTCCCCTTCCTGTTTAGTTGTAAACCTCAGTCTAAGCCATTGTACCAGCAGTGTTGTGGAAGGATAGTCTGATATGCAGTCTGGTTCCTCAAAACACTTGAATATCTATTGAGAATGTAGATCTACATCTGTTTTCCAACAGATGCTTTCCAATCTGTCAGGTAGGAGTAGTAATGATTCTCCTCTTTGCAACATATGTGAGGTGCCCATATACATCAGAAATTGGGTTGCATTAAAGGAGCAATGCTTACAGTGATGTGATAATCCAAGAAAGAAACCTGACACCCAGCTTGTTTACAGGTGTATCTTTTCAGAAGGTATGAGGTGAAGAACACAGTAAACCAAAGTCATCAATATGATTTATGACCTAAAGAAAGAAGAGTATTTCAGAATTCCTTGCATAATAGGGCAAAATCTTCAGTGCAGGGAAGTCTGCTCATTGATGATGATGATGTCACATGCTGCATACTTGAAAAGTATAGCATTAGTGGGTCCTTCTGGGTATCTGTGCCGATACTATGTGTTTAAAGAAACAATGATGGACTGACAGTCCTCATGGGACACTGCTGCAATGTGCTACTGCAAAACACAGCTCTGTTGTCCAGAGGGACAGTGGCAGAGTGGTATGAGAGGGACAAGTTTTATTACCTCACCAGAAGGAGTTGGAGAATCTCACAATACTCTGCACCAGAAGTAGTTCTCCCCTTGTTTCCTTTAAACCCCGCAATGAGGTAATGTGCAAGATCAGGGTGAACCCTAGTACTGGTTTTGAGTAGAGCAAGTTTCATAGTTGTTCCACTGAAATCACTTTAAGAAAACAAATAAGCAACCCCAAACGAACCACACTTCATTGTCTTACAATTTATTTTTTTTTTATGAAGCCCTGTTAAACTGTATTAAAATCTGCTTTGCAGTGAGAGGTGCTTCAGTTAATGTTTTCTGTTTAATGAGGCCTAATATTGGTTTGCTAAAGCTATGAGGAGATAAAAATCTTCTCTGGACAAATCATGTGACTACCCCCTATATTTACTACACACCCTTTCACTTGGGTGACGTGTTTCTACTTTCCTATTCCGCATTAAAGTACACTGAACATGTACTTTGAGGGACCATTCAGAAGTGGTAGCCTGCCTAGGAGCTACAAGTAACACTGTTCCCTTGAACCTGCTCACTGTAGGGGAGACACTGTTTTCTCATTTACAAATAACCTCCTTCTTAACCCCCTGTGTATTTTTCAGCTGATTCTGCAGTTCCACAGAATGAAACTTGTGACTCTTTGATGTGTTATGTGTGCTTGAGATAATCCATGTAAGGGTATCCCCTCTTTCTTCAACTCAAAAGAAACCTTTATAAATAAGTATTACAAGCTAATCTTGTATGTGAC